AAAAAAAAAAAATACACGCAAGAATCATCAAGAAGTTAATTACCACAGGGTTATTTTCTTCTTTTCCCCCTGTTCTATACTTTTAAAATTTCTAAAAATTTTTATGAATCAAAAATAACAATTTTTTTAATCCTAGAAGATAAAACTTTCTCAAACAAAGTCAACAAACCTCTTAGAGACTCCATTAGTGTCTTTTAGCATATTCTGGATTATCTAGATAACCCTGCCCTTATACTATAAACCTAAATAAAGAGGCTAGCATATGACTTCAGAGCCCTCACATGGGTTGGAAATCAAAAAAGTATCAAACAGGTTGGGAGTGATGGCTCACAACCTGTTATCCTAGCACTCTGGGAGGCCAAACTGGGTAGCCTGTCTGAGCTTATGAGTTCAAGACCAGACTGAGCCAGAGTAAGACCTCATCTCTAAAAATAGCCGGGCGCTGTGGCAGGCACTTGCAGACCCAGCTAGTTGGGAGGCTGAGGCAAGAGAATTACTTAAGCCCAAGAGTTTGAGGTTGCTGTGAGCTATGATGCCATAGAACTCTACCAAGGATGACAAAGTGAGACTCTGTCTCAAAAAATAAATAAATTAATTAATTAAATTAAATATTTTTGAAGATTCAAACTATTATGATAACAGCTTTTACACAAATCTATAACCAATCAAAGGCAAAAAGTAAGAACATATCTAATTTTCAGAGCTTTCTAAACTAAAATACATAATGTTTAAAAAGAAAAGAAAGTTAGGGCTGGGCACAGTGGCTCCTGCCCATAATCCTAGCACTCTGGGAGGCCAAAGCAGGTGGATCACCCAAGTTCAGCAGGTCAAGACCAGTCTGAACAAGAATGAGACCCCTACTTTTACTAAAAACAGAAAAACTAGCCAGGCATAGTGGCAGGTGCCTGTAATGCCAGCTATTTGTGAGGCTTAGGCAAGAGGATTGCTTGAGCCCAGGAGTTTGAGGTGGTTGTGAGAACTATGATGCCACAGCACTCTACTCTGGGCTACAAAGTGAGACTCTGTCTCAAAAAAATAATCAAAAAGGAAATTGGTAAGTTCTACTTGACTAGGTCTATGACGAGGTCACATACACCCCTTAATGTCACATCATTTCCCGTATGCAGCATAGTATCTATAAAAACCAAGAAGCAGCATGACTTTTCTAAGAACAACCACCTAAAGGGCCACTCGTGGGGCCAAACACGGGCTTACGATACAAGTCGTCTCACACTGGAGCAAAGCAATTTCTATTGCCCTAAATTTACTGATTACAAAATGGCTACTATCATACTTAATGGTAAAAGTTATTTAAACTTAAATTACTAACCTACACCTAGTGTCCTGAAACTTTGTTGCAATAATTAGGATAAAAGTTAAATACTGCATTATGCAATATTTCTCTCCTCTAATAAATACTTACATAAGTTTCATTTCCAGCATCCAGTTGTAGCTCATCAGTGTCTGTGAAATAACCAAGTTCAGCAAACAGAGTAGAATCTTTGGACAAAAGCAAAGAATAGAGATTAACTGTCAATTCAATCATATGACCAAAAAAACCACCTATGCCAGCTCTATTAGGGTTTCTCATTAGCCATTACTATTATTAGCTACAACTCTAGCACTGTGAATGACAAGCATTTCAAACTTCATTTCAAATGTATGTGTTGTTTTCCACATAATTTTTACCTTGTGAACTGAATTCTTAGGGATCAAAGAAGATTTTATATTATATGTCATGTTGGACTAATCGATAGTGACTTTCTAAAATACTAATAAGAAATGAGTATAATTGTGATGGATGTGTTACTTAGTTCAATGTAAACTTTTCACATTGTATATCAAATCAGTACACTGAACCCCATAAAAGCATCAATGTACACAGTTACGATTTAATAAAAAATAATTTAAAAATAAATAAATAAAATGTTACTAACAAGAACTTTGATGCTACATCTGAACTGAGCATGAAAAAGTAATGTGCTTGGTAGGCAGTGATGAAATGGGAGAGCTCTATGGACAGTATACACGCACTGTGTATTTGCCATTCATGTTAAGGGTACAACCAATTTTCTATCTAGACAATAAAGCAGTCACTCACCTAAACCATTATATTCCTTTCAGCAGATCTATCTATAGTCTAACTTTCTAATGAGGCTGTGATAAACCAAGAAACAGATGGGCACAAAAAACATTCTTTAACAAATTAGACTGAAAACTTTTTTTTTTGAGACACTTTGCCACCCTTAGGAGAATACAGGGGCATCATAGCTCACAGCAACCTCAAACTCTTAGGTTTAAGTGATGCTCTTGTCTCAGCCTCTCTAGTAGCTG